CCACAAAAGATGATGTTGAAGCCGTCAAAACCATCCTACAGGCTTTTGGCACATTCTCGGGACTCCATATTAACCTACAAAAGAGCTCGGTGCACCCGATCAGCTGCGCAAACGTTGATCTAGACCAAGTCCTCTCACCTTTCACCGGTTCTAGAGGGAGCTTCCCATGCAAGTACTTGGGGCTGCAACTCCACATCAGATCACTGCAAAAGATCCACGTGCAACCTCTCATAGATCGTATTGGGCAGAGGTTACCCAAGTAGAAAGGAAGATGGCTTAACAGAGCGGGATGCCTCACTCTAGTAACATCAGTCCTCTCCTCCATGCCAACCTACCACCTGACGGTGTTCCCTCTCGCTGCATGGGCTAAGAAAAAGATCGACAAAATCAGGAGATCGTTCCTGTGGAAGGGGGAGGAGAATGCCAATGGCGGACACTGCCTTGTTAATTGGCCAACAGTTACCAGGCTAAAAGAACTGGGTGGTTTAGGCGTCTCCGACCTTGATAGATTTGGGAGAGCCCTCCGGTTACGATGGCTTTGGCAGGAATGGGTGGACGATTCCAAGTCTTGGAACGGCTCCGAGCTTCCATGTTCTGATGATGATCGTCTCCTCTTCAACTCCTCAATCATTATAACTTTGGGGGACGGTGCAAAGACTAGGTTTTGGCACCACAATTGGCTCGATGGACAAGCTCCTAGGTACCTAGCCCCGAACTTGTTTCGTCTAGTTTCAAGGAGAAACCGAACGGTGCAACAAGAGCTCCGGAACAACAATTGGATGCACAAGCTAGGAAGGAAAATCACCTCGGCTGTCCACATAGAGGAGTTTGTGTCCCTTTGGATACGGATACAAGATGTGCACCTACAACAGGGCGTCCACGACACCATCATTTGGCAGTGGACCAATGATGGGAACTACTCCACCCGTTCGGCCTACAGAATACAATTCAAAGGCTCGCTCGTCCCCTTCCGTGCAGAGTTGATCTGGAAAGCGCAAGTGGAGAACAGATGCAAGATCTTTGCCTGGATCTTAGTGCAAGATAAAATTCTAACGGCGCAAAACCTACAGAGGAGAGGGTGGCCACACCAACAACAATGCGTGCTCTGCAATGGTCCTTTAGAGACCGGCCTCCACCTATGCCTATGTTGCCCCTTCGCAAAGGCGGTTTGGGATCAAATCCTATCGTGGGAGAACTTCACTCAGCTTCAGCAGCAACCGCAGGTGGACCCCACCGATATCAGATCATGGTGGGAAGAGGTGGCGAGGAAAGTGCCAAGATCCAAGCGTAGGCGGCTTAACGGGGTAGTAATCTACACTTTTTGGAATATTTGGAAAGAGAGAAATAGGAGAATCTTCGACAACAAGATAGAAACGGTGCCGCAAGTGGCCGTAAGGATAAAGGAAGACATAGAGCAAAGGAAGAGAGCAATCGCTTATGTGTAGCTGTTGCCCCCACCCCTTTTGAGCCGTGTGTTTCCCTACTTTGCATGCTTGTGGGGGTTTCAAACCCTAACCTCGAGTGCCTTTGTTTGTACATAAACTTTCTTTTACCCATCTTAATTAAAAGGCAGAGCTCCTGCCATTGCGTTCAAAAAAAAACTAACGATGGCTGCTAAGAAAGGGAAACTTGTCTATATTCAAAATCTTGATATTCGGTTTGGACCTGCTGACATAGAGGTAGCAAGTAGCATCCTGTCTTTTTGGCTGTCATAAAGCCCAAGCTACTTCGCCTTTGTATCCCTGGCCTAGTATTTCAACTATATGTGAACATCTTCTGCTGTCTGTTCAGTTGCAATTCTACTTCTGCCCACGTAACTTATGATTGTCTCATAAAGTTTCTCTTTCAACAGTACATTCATTCGTTTTAATCTCAATGTTCTTACTCCTCTTTTTGTTTTGGGCGTTGTTATTACAATTTGGTTGGTTTTATTTACTCCTATCCTACATGAAGTGCCCCTTCAACATTTTTCATGATAACCATGTTTGCAGAAGCTGGTTCGTAAAGCATTACAGCTAAGTTGCAATGCAAAGCCCATTAACCACCCCACGTATGATGATCCAAACAATGGTGAGTTGTTCACTAATTAAAGAAAAAAAATTCTATATATCTATTAAATGAGAGACAGTGAGGGTGAGGACCGTGCTTTTTTTTTGGGGGGTGGGTGGGTGCCTGGGGGGGGGGGGATAGGTGGGGAAAGGTGACTAGCCCAGTGGCTATGGTGGAAGACCACCGATTGGGTGGGGCCGTATGCTGTGGTGATATGCCATCAAAGTGGTTAGCAAGGGAGTGGGCGGCGAGCGTGGATCTGGTCTGGTGAGGGTGGGGCAGGGCCATCTCACTGGAGATAGAGAGGAGGCCGATGCAGGCAGGAGATGTGTGACAATACTAAAGGAGGGAGGGACGCTGGCCAGTTGTGGAGGTGTTCACTGGCAAGCGGTGGTACCAGGGATGGTGATGACAAGGTTGGGGTGGCAATGCTGTGTAAAATGACCTGGTATTATCTAGTTGATGTAGTGAAGGGGGAAGGGAGTGGACATCTGGATCTCCATCCTAGCGTCCAAAGTCGTCTGATACTTGGCCCAGTAACCTGTTGACAGATGCATAAACTGTTCCTTAAAGATTTTCCATAAATAATTAGCTTTGTCCAGTTAATGGGAGAATGGTATTTTTCTTCTTCTTCTTGCAATTTTACAAGTGGTTTTCTTATCTGCAGGCAAAGCATATGCCATATTCAATACTGAAGATGCTGCTGATGCTGCCATTTCAAAAATCAATTCTGGTTTGGTTGTTGGTGGAAGGTATGTGTTTGTAGTTGATGTAATCTACCTTGTATCTTATTCTGTAACGATTTTTTTTCTTCTAAGTGGTGTTCTGTTTGTTTTGTCAATTGTTGAACTCTCCTGGCAAATCAACTGTTGGAATTTATGAATTAGAACAAAGAGTCTTTTTTTAGGTGATGCTCTGATTCATTGATTCTTCAATCAGTTTTCTAACACAAGCAACATTTTCCTTGAGATTCCTTTCTTATTCTTTGCATTAGAATTCCTTTCATATATGCTTGTTGGGAGGAATTCTCAGAGTAGAATTTGTTCGGCTGTAGGCAAATGTTCCAGTAGTCAGCTATATATAATTAACTTTGGATAACTTCCAATATATCAAGACTTTGCATGGGGGCAAGAAACAAAGAGAATCCAATTAAATTATGCAGCTTGACTGCAATAGAAGAGCTGAATAATACGTGGTTCGAGTTCGAGTCCTCATAAAAAAATCCAATTACATTCTACAGCTTGGCTACAATACAAGAATAAGTGATCGCTGGAGCTGCATGACACAAGTTTCAGTGTGTAAACTAAAGGGAAATTTTTGCCATCATAAATATTATTTTTGGCCGAGTGATAGTTTGTTAGTAAAGTTTGTCTGGCATGATTTTTCTTGGTTAGCTAATGATAGTTCTTGCCTATTGTATAACTTGCAGACCTCTTCACTGCAGCAAAGGGTTACTTGAGGTTCCAAAATCTTCAAAGAATCTTGTTGGGCACCTCTCCTCACATGTCCAAATAGGTCACAAGCAGCGTGACGAGCAGGTGGGCACTTTATGTTTATAAGCTCTGCGACGTTTTGCATGTCCTGGCTTGCTATTTTACACAACTATCCTTTTTGCAGAGCAAGGCCGTAGCAACCTCGCATTGTTCCCAGCCCAACACGATCGAGTATGACTTGGCCTTAGACTGGATGCTTCTTCGGGAAAAGCAAGACCAAAGCTTCAGAATACTTCACAAGGTAGCCTAACACAATTCTGTTGAAGATTTGAATCCATGCCATAGTCTCGTGTCTCACAATTAGACATTAACTTGCGTGTTCAATCGGTTTGTAGCACAGAGAAGCCAGGAAAGGGTTTGCAAGCCTGGGCAGCAAAAGTTCGAAGGCAGAGAAATAGCAGGCTGGTTCGTGTGGCATATCGGATGGACGTCTTAATCACCACGTGTCGGAGCATGGCGCGGTATGACCGGCAAGTTTCTTCTCTGCGGAAGAGGGCTGTGCACAAAGGTTTTCTTTTTTCGATAGTCATTGGCTTCACTGGGTTAATTCGTGTTACCAGTGGCTGGTGATGTTAGTTCGTGTTAGGAAAGGAAAAGGAAAGAAAGTGCATGACAGATTTTAGAAGTCAGAGCAGGCCTAGGCATCAATAGCCGATGCAGCAAGTTCGGTGGCCATAAGTTGTTTTAGGCAAACATATGGTTACCTCGGTTAGCAATTCACAGATTGTAAAATTTTTTGAGTCTTTCTTCTTTTGTTATGAACCCTCTGCTCTACCATCGGATATATTCGTCGATGAAAGGATAAGGCGTTTCTGATGGTGGAAATGGAGAGTGTGGGCATGCCAGCATTTATTAGGTAATAATAATATGTTGGAAGCCTATGATGTTCGGTTCAGGGTTCGTTCTGAGTTGCATTTTTTATTTAGGTATAGCTTTGCTGGTGCTTTACAATGTGTTTGCCTCTGGGGGGAAAACCGTTTCCTCTGTGTTACTATCTGATTTCACATTCAGATATCCGTCAGTCAAGCTCTCCCAAGTTGAGCTATGTTGTGTAATCTTGCTCTGCGGCTGTTATCACTCAAAATCAAAGGATATGCCATGGTTAATTTCTTGCTCTGAGAGATGGAACTTGGAAGGGGGCACGGCAGATGATCTTGCCGGTCGCTCCATGCCTCCAGTGCCACAATATGTTGGTGCGTGCTGTTCCAATTGATGAAGGAACACAGACTGTTCGCGAGTCTTAATTGATGGCGTGTCACATGTTTCTGATGCTGATGTTTAGAAGGAACTGCCACTTCAGCTGTTAATAAACTTCATAATCTTCAGTTGTTACGATCCTGCGAAACCATCGCCTGAGCCAGTCGCCACGCCACCCCATCCCATCCCATCATCGCCTGAACGTCGCCACCCTTACCATCACAACGTCGTCACCTGCGCTGCAGGCCGCAAGGAAAAGGAATGGCCGCCCTTGCCCTTGGCCACCTCGCCGCCGGCCCCACCTACCGCCACCACGGGCACGGCGTCGCGGCAGCAGCATCCTCCTCCTCCCTCCGGCTGCGCTCCTTCATCCGTAAACATAGCAGCTGCTGCTGTGTAATCTGTTCTCATCTCACTTCCCAGTTTCCTCTGCAACTGTTTCAGTTTCAGAGCATTGGATGTGTTTGCTCTGCATGCATGCTTGCAGGGGTCTACGCGCTCTCCAGCAACGACATCAGGGTCGGCACCAACGTCAAGGTCGACGGCGCGCCATGGAAAGTTCTAGGTCACCAACATTTCTCACTTCTCAGCAGAAATTTGGTTTTTTGAATGTCTCGGCAGAAATTTGTGGAAAACTGCTTAAGTGCTTATCAAGTCCATGTACCTCTAGTCTTTGTTGGAAAGAAAAAGGATGCTACCTCTGTGTGTCCAAGCTGTAGCCTAAGTAAATGCTCAAAATGTATGTCATTGTTATGCAAAACATGGCAGTCAATCTCTCTCCACTCCATCCAACAACAGAGTTTCTCGACGTCAAGCCTGGAAAAGGCGCTGCTTTCGTCAGGACGAAATTGCGCAACTATGTCACCGGCAACACAGTTGAGGAAACCTTTCGGGCTGGAAGTACGGTAATCTCGCCTCAAACCCACATCTTCTGAATCCGACAAGAATTTAGCACTTCTTTTTCTTTTCCCACTCTGTGTTTGTAGTAGTAGTACATGTTTCTCCGTAGCTAGATATGCTATGGATGAAGCAACTAATAGTCACTTCTCCATCAACACTTTCAGCCACAGGAACCATCCCTTTCAAAGGAGACCTAGCAATTTACATACAAGGATGGATCCCAGTTCGTGTTCATGGACCTGGTACAAACTTGAACCACCCAAATAATTAGTGAAAACCGAAAATGCTTGTCACTGCAATCAACCCTGCTTTATGTTTTCTGAAATTTTCTCATGCCATCGGTTGTAAGAGGTGACCTCTGTATTTAGATAGTTTTCTAGGGAATTCTTGTAACGAAAGTATATTACTTTAAGTTTGTATTTACTCTGTTCTTAATGAAAAGATATGCTGATCCTGCCGTCCTGCATATTCGAAAGTAAAAACAAACTAAAAGATTTCTTCTTAAATCTTAATGAATGGTACTGCAGGGACCAACCAGGCAACCACTTACCAGTGCACCGCCCTGCCTATCAATTTTCAGCAGAATTTGTCCCACTTCAAGTCTTTAACACTCTGAGGCAGATCTTATATCATCGTTTTTACGGTTGTACTTGCTTCAAAACACACTGTGTATTGCATTGTATAGGAATTGTTGAAGCAATTCAGTATTATTTGTTTTATCAAGGGAAACTCCAAATTGTGTTGTAAGAAGTTTGAATATGGCAAAGAACCAGAGCTTTTGGCAAAAAGAAACCCATTGAATTTTCTTTTCAGGAAAAAAAGTAGGTCCTTTTTTGTCTTACCAGGAAACTTGATGTCTGACTGCAAAATGGCCACTTTCTGGATTCATGGACAAATTTGAACTTACGATCTATTGACCTCAAAAAAAAAATGACCTAAAAAAAAACTTACGATCTATTGATGTACGTAAACAATTCTGTTAACATTTGTATCTTACGATGCTCTTGTCAATTTCCCTTTCCAGACAACATTTGAAGAAAGTCGGTTAAATGAAGCAGATGTCGGTGACAAGCAAAAATGGCTGAAAGAAGGAATGGACTGCAATTTGCTGTCCTGGAATGGGAAGGTATTTCCTATTTACCTTTCAGATTATTTGCTATCCAATTGACTAATGAATTTCATTCTCAAAATTTTCTATAGAACCAGGGGGGACAATGTTCCCACACAGCAAAATATACTGCCCATTAACTGTGATAATTGTGTAGATCATTGATTTCGAGCTCCCCATCACTGTGAGGCTGACCGTAACTGATACTGACCCTGGGGCAAGCGATAGTGCACAAGGTACAAATTACTCTAATATCTAGTACGCTTTTGCAGCAAGTACCTGCAATTGGTTAACCACGCTTTTTGCTAACCGAAGTAACCAGATGCAATCTAGTTGTGAAGAACACGACATTATTACGTCCATTTCTTTTCAGATGGAAGTTTAGGTCATCAGAATTGGGATCACATAGTCATTGTATTTTGTAGGAGGAACAAAGCCTGCAACCCTGGAAACTGGAGCTGTTGTCACCGTGCCTTCTTTTGTGAACGTAGGCGATGATATTCTGGTTGATTCAAGAACAGGGCAGTACATGAACCGAGCATAAAGGATTGGAGAGGATTTTAGATTTGAAGAGAACACTGGTTTTTTGTTTGGCCATTTTAGCAGCATGTTCGGCTGGGGCTGAAACGATCATATCTGATCGTGGATTATTATTACTTTGGTTGGTTTGGTGTGAGAGAAAAAAACTGTTCTAGCTGGAAATTTACGATCGTGGATTATTCACCGGTACGAATTCTCTGCATCTTTTCCCAGGAATTGTGCTTAATTTTAGCCCCATTCAACGTAGTGTACAACTGACAAAACAATTAGCATTAGCTATTCAACTCTGTCGATCTCATATTTCATTCACCTGTTCCAATATCAGATGCTGCCAGATGGGGAATGTGATGCATCAGTCACAGAATGCCTTAGAACTCTGTTCGAACAAAACTTTCTTGGGTACGGACTCGGCTCAAACAAATATGTTCTACACATGGAGCAATGTCATTCAATGGACTGGCATCATGGATCAAACAATTGACACCAGGCACAATTTTCTGTTACGTTAGGCGCTCAAATTTCTTTACCACTCACTGATCAGGGACCTCAAACATAACTGAACACCAGTCATGCCCGTTTGCCATCTCCTTTATTGCCACTGAAAGAAAAGATGGCAGGTTATTACTAAACAAGACCATGTCATGGTACAGCCTAACACAGGAACCACACCGATACAAATTGTTCAAAGACTGCATGCTACAAATAAGATCGTTACGATTATGCACATCTAATTCAAGTGTATATAAGCTAGATCAAGTCTCGGTCTCCTCTCATCTAATCTGCATCCACTTCACATCTCAATATGATGAGAATGGCTCTGGACATCTCCTTGGTTGTCCAGGGGCATGTACTGAGCCATGATAGCACGGATCTCTGAGTCCATATATCTCTGTAGGCACGGGCAATGCAAGAACAGAATTAGTTGCCAACCCAGAGTTATCGGAAGGTAATGAATATAGAAGTATCAGCAGATACAAGCTGCCTATTTCTTACCCGGATCCTGTACTTGTACACTGCATATCCTGCAATTCCTGCTGCAACAAGGCCGAAGAAGACGACCCACAAGAAGCCCCAGCCTGCTTCTGATGCTCCATTTTTGCCTGAGTACAACAAATGCCCAATTAGCATCACTTGAGTGTCATGCTAATGTCTATATTCAGCATAGTTGCTAGTTTTGAGCTTGAACTGTCAAGTTGTCAGAGCAAAAATCCAAAATTATATGATTCATATGCCTCGAATAGGTGAGGTAGCCAGCAACTTATGCTAACTTATGACCTCTAACGTTAACGAATTCAACATGAAAACTGCGACTCAATAATAAGCTGATAGTGTACATGTATGAGGGCTACATACTTATGCATGTATCATGCTCCCTCATGTAAAGCAAGCCTCCACTGCAGCCGCACTCATAGCTTCCCCATGTGTTTTTGCATTTGCATTCTTTGCATTGACATGCAGTCTTTTCCTTGCATTCATCAATATCTGTCACAACATGCTTCACATCAGCATCGCAAGGGAAGTGCGAGAAGTCCAATGATATATGATATGGCAAAACAGCGAAAGGCAATTCTGAAGTGCATTACAGCAGAAGCTGTGGAGGACAGGCAAGCACTTCTAGAAAGATTAATGAGCCTCAGGAAATGTCTCTTACCTTCACATTTGTGCTTACCATCACCCTTGAATCCATCTGGGCATTTGCAGCCATCATCCTGCATATTACAGACACCAGAACCAAAATATCAGATTTTATAAGCACTTTTTACTTGAAAAAAACTGGACATGATCCTACTGATAATATGGCAGTTTTAAAGACAGCAAAACCTCAACTGACACTTACAGTACAGGCAGAGTATGTCCGACCATTCTTGGTATCCTTCCAGCATCCTCCATTGTTAATTTCACATCGCCCAGATCCGGAAGCTAAAAAAAATCACATGTTATAATTCAGAAGATCTGTTAACATATAATAAAAGAAACTGCCAAAAGATGAATCTCCTGATGCCTTGTAGTGTACCTTCACAGTGAGTATAGCCATCACCAACAAATTTTACTCCTTTCACAACTGGACACTCATAAACTCTTCCACGGAAGGTATCCTGTATGTAAACCGAACAAGTATTATATGCATAAGCTAAACAGAACAAATATTCAAATTTTCAATTTCAAGGGAAAAAACTAACACCGCAGGATGTACCTTGCATGCAGTGATGTTAGCAGCCTTATCTTGCCAACAGCCGCCATTGTTCTCTAGACACTCATTTGTTTGTATAGCTAAGGTTGAAATAGAATGAACATTAAGAGCATGCTACATGCAAAATTACACTTGAAAGTATAAGCTAGATCATGTAACATCTGAATATGGAAAAATTTGGGAAACCAATGCACCAACCTTCACTCAAGCAAACAGCTGGCTCAGTGGTTTCCTAAAACCAGCACAAAAGTGCTTTAAGAACTGCTCCTTTGTCAAGCTTCCCTGAGAAACATAATTCGGATAAGTTCATCTGGTGATCTCAGCAAACTCCTTATCGTAATTTACGGGATACATAGAATAGCACATACCTCTGTATTGTCTATTGTTGATTACCAGAGTTGGTAAGATGGTAACATCACCACGAGAGCCCTTGCCAATCTACACAAAGTGGGCGATGATGATGTGTTCAGATCAACAATAGGATGAACAGAAAAGATCACGCATTCACATTGAAGTACTACTAACCTGTGCATCCTGTTCAGCTTTCAGAACAGGGTTTTCCTCATCAGCATCTGGATCACCAATACACTTATCTATTGCTTTATGATCAAGGCCTGTAAATTATAAACCAGTTTAGTATAAATACTGCAGATCTGCACCTCACCACAAACATTGGAAACCAGATGCAAATATAACATACCAAGCGACTTGATAACCCCTTCAGCACACTCCTTTGTGTACTTCTTTTCCTTCATTGGGCACCAATCGCAAAATCAGTGACATAGTCCCACCATAACCAAGGCTTCTTGTGCTCCTTAGCAACCTTAAAGACACAAACTTGGCGCAAGTTCTGGACCACCACATCTTTGCCATCATATCCTTTGCTAAAATCCTGTTCCGGGTCAGGTGCACAGTATCTCCCATGATTGATGCACTGGGACTTGCACTGCTTGCTCAGAATGAAGGCCTCTGGGCAATACCAGGTGATGTAGTGAGGAGTGAACTCCGTATAGCCCTTCTTCTCAAGCACCTGCGCTGCTCCTTTGAAGCTCTTGACAAAATCAATCTGACTATCACACTTTGGGCCACATTCATCATTGCTGTTGGTCCAAAATTCATACTCAACACGCTCATCAGGATGGGGCAGGGCCTCCCCCCAATCCAAATTCACATTAACCATGTCACCTTTGTCAATTGCTTTCTTGAGCCTGTCCCCAAAGCTCTTGGTTATTAACGCCGAAGGAATAGTGATGTTCTCTAAATAATCCGTGTTGCCACTCTCCTCAGGGTTGTCCATTGTAATTAGAGGTTCGTCTTTGTCATCAGCGACAAGGATTGCTGCTGCCCCTGCTTTCTGTGCATTCCATGCCTTCTTTGCAAAGTAGCAATCTGTAAACACCAACAAACATTGTATTGTAATAATATGCAATCCAATGTCTATTTTAATTAACCCTAGTACGATGCAACATCTGAGAACAGACATGAGGGAGTTTTAAATATTAGTTGAAAACAAAAACCAGTGGAGCACAATAGGACGGTCTAAAATCAAGACAGTGACAGTAAGCTAAGCTCTCAGGTTAAATCCCCTCTCTGCACACATCAAGGTCTTTGTACCAAATCAGGTCAACGCATATTCAAAGTAACCACATAATCACATGGAAAGATCTAATCTTGAACACATCTACCTGAAGACCACGCGACTAATAAACAGAAAATTGGGCACCCGTGGTCAAACCTTCAACCACACTCTATCCAATCCAACCCAACGGAGCATACAAAAGTCTTACTCGCTACTACTAGTAATTAGTAAACGCAAGTCCATGCATGGGTGACCTAACAGAGACCAACCGCCAGTCCGGCGGCCGGGAGGAGGAGGAGGAGAAGCAACCGCTTCGTGCTATGGCGCTGAGATTCCGGTGACTCACCTCCCCTGTCGACGAGCAAGAAGGTGGGGAACGCCCCCGGCTTGGCCTTGTAGGAGATGTCGAAGTCGTCGAAGCTCTTGCAGGCCTTCCTGTTGGCCTTGGGGTAGGCGACGATGCCGACCATGGTGCCGCCGTACTGGGGCACCCCAAAGTTGCCAATGGCGCACTCGTAGGTGCCCTTGAGGTCGTCGGGCGCCGTCACCTTGAGGCTGTTCTTCTCCACCACGAACCTCCCCTGGCAGCAGCCCAACAGGAGCGCCGCGCACACCAGCAGCCACAGCATCGCGCCGGCGGATCGGGACCCCATGCTCCGCCCGGGCTCTGCCTGCGGTCCGCGAGTACCACCTGGGGATTGGATTGGAACTGGTAGTGTCTGCGGCTCGATCCGCGCAGGATTGATCAATCTTGCAGCTGTGCGGCCTCCGAAAACGGCGGAGGGAGCGGAAAGATTGGATTTTTTGACGGCCGGGGTAGGGCGAGAGAGTTCTACACTGCTCGGATTGAGGAGTTGGAGTGTGGAGGGTTTGGTTTGGGGAGGAGAGGAGAGGGGATACGCGAGAGGTGGCGAAGGAGGCGGAAGGACGCGGTGTAGATGCCTCGTGGTGAACCAAAACCAAAAGCAGAAGAAACACGTGACCAAAGCCAGGCCAGCAAGTTACCATGTGGTTTCTTCACACTGAAGCAGCTTTTGGGCGAGGCTAGTTGAGACAAGCTTTGGTCTATAAGACAAACATCAAACAGCAAACTTGTACAATATAGGTAGGTTCTTTGTCTCTAATTAAATTTCCAAACAGTTGTTTATTCTTTAACCTGGTTATGTCCTCCACCTGTCAGTATTTGATTAGAGCAGAGAGCAAGATAATATACGATAGATATCGAATGCTTAGTTGTTGTATTAGAGGGCGGGTACCGCTGATTGATGACTGTTATGATCCATCTACTAAACTTCAGTAGTTGTCTCATCGGATATTTAACACATGCATAGAGTATTAAATATAAACTAATTATGAAACTAAATACACAGACTAAAACTGTTTTGCGAGACGAATTTTTTAAGCCTAATTAATCCATGATTTGACAATGCGGTGCTATAGTAAACTTGTGTTAATGACGGATTAATTAGGGCTTAATAAATTAAATCTTCTTATGGATTACCGATGGATTCGTAATTTATTTTTTATTAGTATCCCCAGAACACCCCCGTCACGACAACCCCATGTGACACCTTCTAAACTTTAATCCCGGATCCAAACACTCCTCTCGTGTGCCCTCTCTCCTCGATCTAGGTCACTTATTACTCTGCGACGTGCTCGGTGATTCGACAAGCTGTTGTACCTGCTCTTAGAAGGTTGTTTGGATTCTAGATTGTAAAAGTCGAGATACATGGTTCTTTTGTAAAGTTACAAAATATTCTCATATTTTGAATTTTTATGCTATTATTGTTGTAAAGGTGAAGAGAAGTATTGTCTTTGAAGTCCAAGAGCATAAGGCAAAACTTGTTTAGATTTTAATTATAAACTGGCTAAAAGCTATGTATATTTGGAGCCCTTTGTAGATTCTCAAAACTAGCTTCCGCGGTTCCCTAAAACCCAAGCAAGCTTGTAATGTTTGAGCATGCAGTTATTTTCACGAATATTCTTGAGCACCTTTACAAGCCAGAATTTTATCCATTTCTAATGCTATTATATATGTTTAGGTATATATTAATACAAGTTTATAGGGAGTTTAGAAGGAAGAACTTACTTGGTTTGTTTCGAGGGAATAACAGTTTTGGTGGATGAGGATGAGAATTCCAAGGCTAACTTTAGTGCTAATTACTCTCCCCGTTCTAAATTATAAGTCGCCTTGACTTTCTTTTAGTACATCTATTTTACTATGCATCTAGATATCTAGATATAATAATATATCTAGATACATAACAAAATAGATGAACAAAAAGTCAAAGTAACTTATAATTTGGAACGGAGAGGGTAACTAAGAAGAGGGATGATAAGTGAATGATTGATTCATTCCAAAACGTTTACCATTACATGGTATGGTGATAAAATCTTTTTTTTGTCCATACCCCTCGAACCAAACAAAGTATGGAAATCCCCCTCTTAAGTTCCATCAAAGAGTTTCGACAAAAAGTCTAACTCCCATGTAAATTCTCTCAAACTCCCCTCGCTAATTTTCATTGCATTTCCCGTTGCTAGCCAAACGTATAATTTCTTTTTTAGGTTTGGGGAATAAAGCCGATTAAAACACTGAGGCCTGCCGGGCACATTTTTGGGCCTTTTCTCCAGTTGGTACTGGGCCAACGACTTGTCAGATTCGTTCCAAGTTCACTACCAGGCCAGGTTAGTAGGCCAAAAAAAAGGTAGGCCCAAATTTAGATACAAATCATGCATGCGTACCTATCCTATGTTTGTATTCGTAATAACTGGCCCAGTTTCGTATTATCGATGTGACACTGGGCTAGGCTTAATCTTTAACATATTGAACCGATAAATTTTAAAATTGGTGAAAAAGTCATTGTGATCTTGTTATTGATAGACATGTCACTATGTCAGCTAGATCCTGTAAAGCTTTTGCCGTGCTTAATCGATTAGACAGAGTTCTTGCCTCTCATTTAAAGAGAAAAAAAAAGAAAGAAAAATGGTAGCCAGTGGCTGCAGTCCCTGGGCCCTTGGTTCGATCGTGGAGCAGCGCGTGCTTTCACATGACAAAAGTGATCTAGACTGGTCAAGCCATGATCGGAGAATCGAGTGCAGCACAACGTTCTCTTCATCATCTGGAGCCTGCTGTCTATAGCTACCTGCCGACCGGTAAAGAAAAAAAAAAGAAAGACCTGCAGATCCAGTAGTATATTGTATATTTGATTATTTGTATATGTATGCACAAGCGAATTTATCAGAAATTCAGTACTGCAAATGGGTCCTTATTTAATACTCTCTCCGTCCCAAATATAAAAAAAACAATCTACATTGTTAAGTTAATCTATCTTCAGTTTGACTATTTTTTCATTACAAATAATTTATATTTATAATATCAAATAAGTACTATTTACTATGACATATATTTTTTTATAGTATAACTATTTAGAATCATAACGGTTGATACTGTTTTATACAGTGTCAGGCTACAGCGGGCTGTCAGAAATTGAAGGTTCAATCACCATCCTCTTTTGTCACACGCTTATATATTACTATATGCCCACTTGATTTGTGACATGTTTATTTTCTTAATTTTGACATCAATGCAGTGACGCTTTGTTTTGACATCAGTTGCTGCTCGTCATGCTTACTATACGTGCTTAATTGCGGTCACAGTCCAATCATGCACAGGCAACAACGCGGATCCTCCGTGTGTGTGTGTGTGTGTATATATATATATATATATATATATATATATATATATATATATATATATATATATATATATATATATAACTACTACCCAATAACTGGCTATAAAATAACTTATTATGTAGCCACTTTGAGTTACGATAATTACTATATTAATTTATGAGATTATAGTAACTCCTTACTAAGTGGTTTACTATAACGTTATGATAAATATCTCCATGTGTTATAGTAACCCAACTATCGTACATATGTATTGATATTATCGTAAATTAGTATATAAAATTATCATAAATGGAGGTGGCTACAGAATAACTTATTTTGTAGATCTCCATGTATATACACACACGCTACGCTATATATGGAGTACTATACTAGCCTAGCTAGTGTGTAATCAGTCAGCACGTACTGTTTTCTACACGCGATGCACATACATGACTACTACTCCAATAATTTCTATTATTACCCGCGCAATAATCGCGCGCTTTCCACAAGAACTTCATACATCATTAACTTTTTACAATATAGTAGCGTATATAGATATTATTGATGTTTCTTTGTCACCACGGCACTAGCTAGGCGATGTGGAATAGCTAATCTTTTTGTGTTTGCACATAGACAGCTGCCTATATCACGTCAACTTGCGGTCTGTCTATATTATATGGTAGTGGTGTCCGTGCTTGTATGTTCTTTTTTCCCCCATCTATATCGTCATACTGGCCAGGTATTTTATTTTCCATTTCACTTTCAATTCTATTTTTTTGGATTGTTCAACAATATTTCATCCAACAGCTCTCCTCCTTTAATTTTTTCTCGGACTTTTCTAGGTATATAGCTTTTGCTTAGAACCCAGATATATATACATTATGATTAGATACACAGTAAAAGCTATATATCTAGAAAAACCAGAACGATTTATAATTTGGAATAGAGGAGGACATGCTAATATAACTCACTAGATTGAGTTTCCCAATCCCAACCTTTCCCTACCAGCCATCCTCTCCTGATACTGGGATTGCTAACTGGTGGATTCTAAACTGCTGCCCACATACAAATCCAATCCACCGCCACACCGATATTATTCCACCAATCACCCCATGGAACCCAAAACCCCCACCCCTAGTCTCTCCAAAATCCTCAAATCTCGACTTGAAGAGAAATAAATGAAGGTAAGGGTGTGAATGTCCAAAATCCCAAGTGGAATGTCATGAATATCACAAAAATTGGCGAGGAATTTGAAGGTCATGAATCTCTCTCTACTTAAATTTTAGGGACTCCCCCAATGTCTATTGCCTTTGTTAAGGACCATAACATTGCTTACAACTAGGCTGACTTTACCATCAGTGGAGAGTTACAAACAGTAACTTGGGATGTACCAAGTAAAATTTGGTACCTCCATGGTTCTAAATATCCTACTATTTCTCCACTTTAACACGCTATAGCTCCAGTACAACATTTTTAGAGGTATACCGCTATGATATCGTCAATTGTTGTGTGCTACTGTAGCTACAGGTCGACTTATCTCCGTTAAGCGTCATTATTTGGTTTAGCCGCAAACTTTTTTTTTAGCTTTGCTAATCCTTATGTGAATATTCACTCTTTGCTCAAGATGATTATAATATGTCTCTCTGTTATGTTTTTTACTTAATAAAACGATGTAATGAACCATTGAATAATCCTTAAGTTGTTTGTTGTTGAATGTTGTGAATATGAATGTTAATTACAATCATGATTAAATTGATTAACTGAATAGCTATGACGAAGTAATGAACCTAGAGATATGTTATCCTAGAGGCCTAGACTTGTATTTGAGTATTGGTGTCCTTGTAGTTTTGTTAGTTCTATGTTTATTTGCATAATTAATCGAGACTTTTTATGTTTTCTACAAACCGCTAAATAAGTGCTCACCTCTATATCCAACGACTATAGCTTTGTATGGATTTTAAAGGAGGGCACCACTAAA